TAGAGGAGTTCATCACCACCAGACCAGCACTACAGGAAAAGTTGAAGGGTCTTCTTTAAGAAGCAGCTAATGAACAAAAGAATCTGACGAACTAAATAGGTCCAGAGACATTGATGCATGCAACAGACGCTCATATTTCAGAAGAAAGAGGGAAGGGGGTTGGAGGGTGGGAAGAGATTAACCAAAGAAGTTATATGCATAACCCATGGACACAGTTAATAACGGGGTGAAGGCCTGGGGAGGGGGTGGGAGCAAAATGGAGGGGGTCAATTGGAGGGGAAAATGGGACACCTGTAATACTCTCAACAATAAAGATAAATTTTAAAAGTAAAAAAAGAAGTATGATCTTACTCATATGTGGAATCTAATGAACAAAATAAACTGATGAACAAAATAGATCCAGAGACACAGAAGTATGGAAAAGACTGATGAATCTCAGAGAGAAGGCAGGGGTTTGTGGCTAGGTGGGGAGAGGTTAACTTAAGAACTTACATGCATATATGCATAACCCATGGACACAGACAATGGTGTGGTGAAGGCTTAGAGGAGGGGGGCTGCACAGTGGAGGGAATCAATGGGGGGAAAAGGAGACATCTGTAATACTTTAAAAAATAAAGATAAATTTAAAAATTAAAAAAAAAAATAACAAGGAAAAATGTACCTATGTGAGGTGATGGATGTTAACTAAACTTATTGTGGTGATCATTTTGCAATATATACAAATATCAAATCCTATGTTATATACCTGAAACTAATATAATGTTATATGTCAGTTATATCTCAATAAAAAAATTGAATTTTTTTTTAAATTAAAAAACTAACAATAACCAAAGTACCAAAAAAAATTATGTCAATATGCAAACACACTTTGGGGAAAATCTGAAACACATGTCAGGAGGCTAGTTTCCTTAATATAGCAAGATTACTTACAGATCTGTAAGAAAAAAACCAACAGCACAAGAGAAAAATGGCAATTCACAAAAAAGAGGCATAAAGGCTTTGAGTTGTAGAAAAAAATGCTTTACCACATCCATAACTAATAAAATGCATTTGAAAATAAGATAGCATTTTCACTATCAGACTGACCAAAATTTAAAATATTGCTATGCTAGCTAGCACTGGTCAACATGTGAAAAACTGTTGGCAGCGCTGTGGTTTAAAAAAAAAAAAAAAAAAAGCCTGGAAACAACCTAAATGTCCATCAGGAGAGGGTTAAATAAATGAAGGGGTGCTCACACAGTGGAATACTAGCACTCTGTGCCTCAATGTGAAATAAACCCCAAGATATATTACATGAAAATATACAAGTCCTGGCTGGCGTGGCTCAGTTTGCTGAGTGTCATCCCATGCACCAAGAGGTCACCAGTTCAATTTCTAGTCAGGACACATGCCCAGGTTGCGGGCTTGATTCCCAGTGAGGGGTGTACAGGAGGCAGCCGATCGGTGTTTCTCTCTCTCGTTAATGTTTCCACTCTCTCTCTCTTCCTCTCTCTCTAAAAAATCAATTAAAAAAATATTTTAAAAAGAAACAGAAGATTAAGTCTGGTATGTCCCAGTGTAGTGTAGTATCTCTTCTAAGGGAATGGGGGGTATACACATGTGTTGCTGGAGAGGCTTTTTCTGGCACCGCTGGGGAGTGCACTGAGTATCAGGGTAAAAGATGTTTTCACTGTACCAGTTAGTTTTTAGAAAACAAGACTACTGCCTGCCTGGTATGGCTCAGCTGTTGAGCATTGACCTATGATCCAGGAGATCTTGGTTCAATTCCCAGTCAGGGCACATGGTTAAAGAGACTACACCAAAACTTAAGACTTGGGTAACAGAAAAAGGTGTTAGGAGATATGAAAAGCAAATTCATAGAAGATATAAAAATGGAAACATTCTTGCTCACTAGTATCCATGCAAATGTAAATTAGACAAGAAATAACCTATAAACCATTGGTTTGGAAAATATGTAATATCCAGTGTTGGAGAAGATACCTTGTTATAGGAAGTCTCATTTCCTGCTAATGGGAATACAAAATGATAAAGCCTTTTTGGAGAACGATTTGGCAATATCAACTAACATTTCAAATTTGCACAGGCTCTGAACCATCAACTCTAAAACTCTAATTGTGTAATTCTAAAGAAATACCATACATGTGCTCAAAGATTTAAGTAGTGCCCATTCTACACAGTATTGTAACAACAACAAAAAAACTGGAAATAATCTTAATCACTTCCATTAATAGGACAATATTAAGTAAATGATGATTTGTTCATAATATAGGATATATGCAGCCGCTGGAAAGTCGTACACCCGTGCATACTGAGGAAAATATGTGTAAGCCATGCTGGGAGCTTTAAAACAAAAATTCTGTAGCACAATGCACATATGGTTTAGACCTTTTTACGTAAAAATAGTTAGACACGTCTTTTTATATGTGTGTAACTGTGCAGAGCCTGGAAGGAAAGCCAACACGTTCACCAGCGGTTACTTCCGAGTGAGGAGCAGACACTATGGTCACTCTTTATTTCAGCACCTACCAATCAATCCCAGGCCCTCAGGATAGGCGGCCAACAACTCGATCCACGGGCTGCACGAGGGCCCAGGGTGCCGGTTCCGTTTGGTTTGCTGCGTGTGCCGTGGAGGGCCGAGTGGCATTCAGGTTTGTGTCGACTGAACGAGGGAGCAAATGGCTAATGTATTCCATTACTCGCGTATAAAACAATTTTGACGCGGGGAGGAAAAAAGGCGCAACTAAGGGACTTAAATGACCACGCTGGTGAAGTCCGTTTTCCCAGCTCTCGGATTTCACCTCCCGAAGCGGCCAGGAGCGTGCAGCCCAAGGGCCCCTCCGCCTCGCCCCGGCTCAAGGAGAAGTCCCTGCTGTAGTCACACAGGCTGGGGCTCAAAGGCGTTACCGACTGAGGACACCGCGCAGAACGGAGCGGGGCAGAGCCAGGTGGAACCAAAACGCACCGCGCGTTAGGCGAATAAATCTCAGTCCCCCGCGGCGCGCGAGGGGCGCCGTCCTCGCGGCTCCCACAGAAGAGAAACGGACTCGGGGTGTCCGCGCATTCCCGCCCCCGCCCG